GGTCCCTCTGTGGGCCTGGGGTTCTCTACTTGTCCTCAGTATGATCATTACGTGCATCGTCATGAGCGTGCAGTTCGGACAGAACGTCGGTGTCACTCTCCTCGGTGTGTTTGCGTTGCGCGAGGCCGATTATATGCCGAAGCTAACATTTACCTTCGATCGTGTAGCGATCATATTCTCTTTTTTATTCAGCCTCATTTCCTGTGAAAGCGTTGGTCGGACCAACCTAATTCCCGTCGGCGCAACCGGTAACCACATTCAGCAGTCCATTGTTTACGGGCGCTGACAGGTTCCATGCTGGTAGCCAATGCTTCACAGCTGATCTTCGGAGGTTTAGCAAGTAGTCAAAACTACCCCGTCAAACGCTCCCAGCTCCTGACCTTGCTTTCTGGAATGTTGACGCTAGGCAAGTTCAATCAATCGTTCAAACATGACAAGCTGCTTGAACATCGTGAATCAAATAGGTGCCGCAGAACAAGGTCTCCCAGTTTTCTTCTCAAGCCCCTGAATATTCGTTGATGCTGGGATTAGCCGGGCATATGATCCAGGATCTGAAGACCGCGCACCTTCTCCGAGCGTCTCCTAGGGCTGTCTTCGTTGCTCAGCTTTGTGGAGCCGTGGTCTCGATTTTTGTATCAGCTGGTCTCTACGTCGTGTTTTCAACCGCTTACCCCTGTATCAACGACTTGGACCACACGACATGCCCATTCTCCACGCCTAGTGTACAGGCATGGCGTGCAGTAGCAGTTGCTGTGACTTCGAAAACGTTACCAATCCCACCGTCGTCTGGGTATACGGCCATCGCACTTGGATTCACGGCTGCCATTTCCGTCGTGGCAAAGTATACGGTGGTTCCTCCCAGATATCACCCCTTCATGCCGTGAGTAACAATGGTTGCGTTACTGATGACGTCTGACGAGAACGTGAAGCAACTTCAATGCTATTGGAATTGGGATGATGATGAGTGAGTGATCTGTGTTTGACAGTGATGGTCGTGTTGCTTACCTTTCAGATGTATCCGTGTACCCTCTGGCGATGTCGCTCGGGTCGACTCTTGCATTCTTTTGGAGAACCAAGTGCGTGTCATGAAATATTACTTAAGGGCGTCATATGACGTCCCATGCAGGTTCTTTAATAGCTACCAGACATATTGTTTTGCTATTGCAGCAGGGTTTATCGCAGGGGAAGGTGTTGGTAGTACCGTGAATGCCGTTTTCACGATTCTGGGCGTTTCTGGTGCGACATATGGGTCATCAGCCGGTTGTCCTGGTGGGATTTATTGTGGATAGACGTTAAGTATTTACTAGTAGGCACCTGCCCACAGCACTTTGATGCCCTCTGCCAGGCAGGTGGAGACTCGCAACGGAGTAAATACTAAACACCTATCAAAACATCTCATCTTAATGGCTTGTCCACCAAAAGCTTTCTTATGCTATCAGTCCTGCCAATATCAGCCCAGAGCTGCAAATGATACAGAACAACTCTCATGACCCACTAGCATCCCCACCTTTCCCTGATTTTCCAGCCTACAATTTTGTACAACTTACCGGAAAAAATCATGTAACAATCGGCATAGACATAATTAATCAGACTGACCTTCAGTGCGGCGAATGAAGCATAGATTCATCCAATAACATGCAAGATATACACGTTAGACAAACTCTACCTGACCCCACTCCTCCGCTTCCCGAAACGCCGCAATGGCATCCTCACGGTACCGGTAGCTACGGTATATATTTTTGCTGACATGAAACACCTCCCGCCCGATTTACAACTTATTCAATCAAGGGCTTCGGGACTGCACAAGATGGCGAACTACGAGTCCCTCACCAGAAGGGGTAGATGCCTGGCTCACGACCTTTGAATACCATATACCACTGCGACGTTCTCATGATACGATATCACCCCTCAAGACCAACGCTGTCATCTGCGGCCCCGAGGGTTGCGCTATATCAATGACAAGGCGAGATAGCAACGTGCTAACGCAGTCCAGCGTAGCATGATCTGAACACTACACATATTCTGAAGACATCTATTGATGATATGGCACAGTACTTACACATCCAAGCGCGAAAGCCACAATGTATGCATGTTGAGCATGCCCAAGTGTCATACCTGCTCTGAGAAACCATGTGCCGCACGACGACAATTTTCCGCTGTCAACAGCCTGACCAATGACATGTCATGACACTTGGACTCACCATTGGATGTAAACGCCGGGGGTCCATCCTCGAAAAGCCACGTAGTATTTGCTATTCAAGTGCGTTAGCCCATCTGTTGGGACGATGACACATGTATGGGATCAGATGATAGTGATGGCGCTGCAAAACGAGTGTTCTGTGGTGATAGCGAGAAGATGTAGGCTTGGGGAACCAGTGGGCGAAGGAAGGTTTGTCCAAGGGATGCAATAATATATAAACTTCTGCCATTTTATTCTTCGATATACGAGCTGTCACCAACAAGTAATCAAGCTGTCAGACAACAGCGCCCGAGAAATAAAATGAGCTCGTGTTTGACATATACTGTAACGAACGTTATCGTCGAATCCCTGTGGTTGGATTTCGCCTCGTGCTGATCACTTCCGCATCTTCCTCATAACGACCCAGCAACGAGTCCGTGGCTCCATCGATGCCATCCAGTTCCACACTCTTGGCATCTTCGAACCGGGTAGCATACGGCTCATGCGCATCTGCCGATGCTAGGTGAGGGTAATATTGTCTGTACGAGAAATATGCGAGGAGAAGGCCAAGCGCAGATCCAGTCACAACGTCCTGCCAGTGGTCTGAATGGCAAAGTGAGCTACCTAACATGATTTCGGGAAACGGGATCTTACGGCGGTAGTCCATAGTGCGCGAAGTCGCCACGAATAAGGCACCAGTAAGAGGAGTGATAGATATCCACGCTTTACCCTGAATCGTGCATGGTCAAACATGTATTGAAACTGCCCGCAGGACAAGGGGAACTTACGACATATCCCCGTGTGTCAAATAGGTGCAGTTTACCAGCCAAGTAGAAGGCAAGGAATCCAAGGCCTGCAAAGGACACTACATACAAAACCGTCCGATCAATGAAATGTGACAGGGAGAGATAGGGTCTGACACACTACTGGAATGACCACTAGGGAAGCTTCGCCATCCATCCTCGAATATCTTCGATGCAGCCTGTGTACATATGTCTGCAGTAGAGAGGCCCCAAAGAGGGTCTTCGGAGCCCGGCGCAGGTTGACAGCGTGAGATTAAATCTTTAAACATCGTAAGATATGCCTATGAGTGAGAAGCAACAAGTTTACCTGGTCGAGGTCGTCCAACCGTGACTTTGACTAGTTGTGTGATGGACCCTGTCATCGACAGAGAGAGGAGTACTGCATCGTCATCAGTAACCATAAAATCTAGCTAGGTTTATGCACATACATCCCCAAGGTACTATGGTGAAAATCCCACCATGACCGAACTGTCAGAACATTGACGAGGCACTGGATTGCAAATGGGATGCCCCAAGAGATGAGCTTGAGAGCTGTCGACTGGCACATTGTTAATGAAAAGGCTTTTTCCGTGTTCCTCGTTGCTTACACCGACACGTTGATTGACAGCATGACTGGCAGGTATGCAGTGAACGTTATAGGTCAATGAACTCAGTTGAAGAGCAACACCCACGGATATCGTAATCTGGCACAAGGGTGATAGGCTCGACGTGAAGGCGGATCCGATCATAGAAGCACTAGCACTCACGAGACATCAGACAACGAGAAGTGCCTCTTAAACCCAGAAACGTGGTTGTCGATAACCCAGAAGATTGCCCTGCGCATTCATCTAGTCTTTAGCTCTAGGTCCTTCAACAACCTCCGTGGCTCCAAGCCCTCACCAAAGCGTACCAGATATGATCCTTCAGGGAAAAGAGACTATGAGCTCAAGCCTAGAATTCAGTGATAGCAAGAAGTTCACCAGTCGGGGGCATACGATATCATGAATCGCCGTAAGCCTGGTCGTGGTCTGCTCATGGTGTTGGAATATGATAAAATTGGTTCCAGGATAAAGTCAAAAGGCAACATAACAGTCCGTCCACGGTTTTATAGCTTTGAAGGGTGTGTACCGTTGATGTACATTTCAGTCTGTTTCCAGGATTGTGCTTGCAATAGATTAGCATGGTGCCCACGAGGATAGTCACACGGACTATTATTAGAAGCGTCTCCCACTCGCTCTATTCTTGAGCATGAAACCCATCTTCGAGCGCAGAGTCAGCTCAGGCTCCAGGCGTTCTGTAAGCTCTTATGCTTGCTTTGCCAACAAGTAACGGTGGTGATCCAGGGCATGTGTTGGCATTGCGAGGGTCCTCCTTTGCTGTGGTACCACGGTCTCTCATATCTTCCACGAAGTCAATATTATTATAATGTCATGCAACCTGGCTTGATGTCTCCGGGAGTCCCGAGGAGTCTAATTTTGGAAACTCGCCGTGGAGATTACTATGGCGCCAGTACTCACCTATGCCATAAACCATCGAGTTCAACCGGGGAATTTGGAGAGCAAGCGACAGACTTGTAACCTGGAAAAGTATGTTGTTGAGTTCGTGATCGGTGAAACCATAGCAGTAAGTACTAACGTGCACCTTGCAGGAGGGCTCCAAATGAACGGTCACCGCCAGTCGCTAGCTCTCAAATTCCAGTAAGCGTCCACTGGTATAATGTGTCTAATGCAGCTCTAAACTCTGCAGATAGCACTTGTGCCAACCAATGTCCAAAAGCGCATCATCATCAACCATATAGAAGCACAGCAGGCGCGGAGGGGCGACCTAGAACTCGAAAGAGAACAGCTGTTAGGTGCTCTGGAACAGACAGAGTACAGTCTCATCGCAGCATGATCTCGGATTTCTATGCGACTCTTTCTCCGGTGAAGAGAATTCCCGACGAGGCCCTTGCCCTCATTTTTGAACACCGTCTACCAATGAGGTCTCCGGACGATCCATTCACCTTTCTCGGCCGTGCCCGTGATTTAACACTAGTACAGCTGGGGCTCGTATGCAGCTCTTGGCGTGGGGCCGCACATGCCTCCCCTCGGTTGTGGTGCAATGTGAACCTTTATATCCATGAAACGTCATCGAGAATCGACGCGGATTCGCCGCTCAGGATCTTATCTTCCGCTGTCGCTCACCCTGTGGTGCCAACTAGAGTCGGTATGTGATGGTCTCAGTGATGTTTTTGACGCCGTTGCTCTACATGCTCCACGATGGCGAACAATAGCCCCACTCAATTACATTTTATTTCGTGCAAGCAATATACATCTCATTTGCGAGTGACAGCCAGTGGGAACGGAACAGAAATACAAGAAATGTAAGTATTTTATTCTAGGTCGACATCATTGTAAAGCGTACTGAGATTGGAAGTGCCGATGCGGCACGCGCATCACAGGCACTGGCAAGTCCAACACTGGTACACTGCCCACTACAAACACGCACTACCCCTGGGCCAAAGTGTCTTTGAGCAACTGCCCATTCACGACCGACGCGGACGTCTGCTCTCTCCAACGTGGTCACTGCAGTTTCCTTCCTCAAATTGGTACGACGGATATATCCACATCGACTTCTACACTGGAGCCAACTTAATACTGATTCAGGCATTCAACGTAAAAACCCAGTTGATCATAAATAAAGCTCCTGCCAATATTGCGTATAAAATCGGAATGCGCTAAGGTAGGGTATCTGCTGCGAGTACGGAAGGAAAAACGGACCTCATGAGTTGCCCGAAAATATGAAACTCTCTTGCTGCCCAGAGGAACCACAAAATGAACATGATAACGACCACGCACCCGCTGACAACCGATGCCAGCATGGCCACCATCGTAGACTTGAATACATTGTACAGAATGGCGATTGCGAAGTAGATCATCCTAGTGAAGAGCATGGTAACCATTAGTGCTGATGAAGGACTAGTGATCCACCTACCCCCACATAAGCATTGCGTAGGGAAGACTGTGTACCGTAGCAAGGGCCCTCACCCCAAAAAACGTCCCCGTCATATTGGACATGAAATCTGCCTGATGAGATTGGTTAGCGTGGAAAAGGTGCACGCTAGACGATAACTTGCTGCTTTTTCTGCTGATTCAAAACCATGTCTTTGGTTTTGACGCACTAGCAGAACTGAGACGATCAAGGAGCCGGTGATGAAAATAATCGAGAGATAGGTGGCAATGATACCGATCGACTGTGACTGGATGATGTTCACATTCGGGACTGCAAGGAAACTTACATCTACGGCTAACATGACGGTAGACTGGAAAGATCAAAACCAGGATCAAGTTACGAAGGAGGCTGACTTCATGATACGTACGTAGATTGTGATCCCAGTCCATTCTGCCATGAGATTTTTGTTGAAGTCTTTCCAATGTGGAGTGTTGATACATTCATCCACCCACACTTTTCGAAGATCTTCCAAGTGCGCTCGTGGGGCCCAAAAAAGCATGGCCTCGAGAGCCAGGGAAATGCTGCTGGTCAGTGGGTGAAAGGTAGTATTCTCCTTATACACTGATTTGTCGGCTTCGAGACGAGCGCAAGGCAGACCGCAGAAATTAAAGAACTTGGCTATATCTTCAGAAAAAATGAGCCACGCACTGAATTTTTTAAAAAAAAGAAGAATATACAGAAATAATGCATGAACCTCGCTATTGGGGGAACGGTGAATCTTCGATTGAACCATGATAGCTTTGCTTACCGATAACACAAGTGGAATGTGGGAAATCATTGTTATCGTTGTCCAGAGTGTTCGCTTTAGAAATGTAGTAGCACTTTAGACTATTGCAGACGTAAACGGCTCGAGGAGGACCGCCACACCTTGAAGATGGTTTATCAGCTCCAGAATTCTGGTAAGTTCATCGGCATCAAAAGGCGACAAGGACATGTCAGAAGTGATGATCTCTGAATCTCGTGTTCAAAAGAAAATCGATCATTAATTACAGGCGATCATTACCTGCACTCGCATGCATGACAAGCTCCCTCAGTTCCTTGATCATCTTCGGTCGATCCATCTTGTGGTTCGGGTAGTATTCGCAGTGCGTCCTGCTCGTTTCATGTCATGATATCATACAGGGCCTGGAACCAAGTTCGAATCAAAATGGGCCCGGCGGGAAGTAACTGGAATTCATACAATGCATGTGACACACCAGTACTCAGACTCCAAGACATATCCTAGTGGCTCGTTCATATTAGCGGAATCATCGTAAATCTCGCATAACGCACGAATGTGACTCGGATCAGCGACGCCTTGGAGCCCGCTAAAAAGATTCCTGGTTTTAGTGACGCCTTGGAGCCCGCTCAAAAGATTCTCTTGATGGTAATCGTGCAGCCAGAAGAGAGTTCGAGCTGTGTGGTCAACAAAATAATAATGACAAGACAGTTGAACACCATCCCGGGCTTCAACCTGCGCTACTTGCACGACGAGCTCGATGTCATCAGCTTCGAGGTTCACTGATTTTGCTTGTGGTAGGTCATATAACGCATTTACGCATCCGTCGATCAAGCTGAACATGCTTTTATTCATGTTTGCTTCCGTGAACGTTCTCTACAGAGTCTATCAAAAACATGTTATGACCTTCATGATTGAGTCCTTACTCGGTGGTCGTTGTACAAATACAGCACGCCTTCCGGGTGTACGTATGACTGCCAGTCCGACCCGTTCAACCATGGACATGATCTGCACGGTTTGCTATCCGCATTCAAATATGGCCCGGCTAATGCACTCACTCGTTGTCGAAACGCCTCATTAGCGCTGGAATTCGATCGCTCTGGCGAGATTCATCTCTGGAGTGACTCCTCAAAACCATCCATAGTTCAGATTGAGTGCTGCACGTACACAAGAGGACGGTTCTCATATCGTGAAACATCATTCGCAGCGAATGGCACAAAATGGGGAGTGATGACGGGAGTATTGGAAGATATTGTGTTGCCAGCATTTGTGGGTGGAGACATCTGGAGCGGGACGGGTTGCTGGAGAATGGATGGAACCTGAGGCATGGCTAATGGAAGTGTTGAAGACAACACCACATCCTGAGTGCCAGTGCCACTTGCGGCTCTTGCTGAAGTTATGTGCCGGTTGTGAAGTGGTAAGGTGGTCTGGGGACAGCGTGCATTGGATCCAGCACCGGTGAAGACAGTACAGCAGTCCGGAGGGGAGCTCGACGTTGAGTCAGTATTGTGCCTAGGTATCAAATTGATCACAAAATGTCGAAAGCAGGACACGAGAATGCGTAAGCGCTGGGCAGATGAAGTTGTCAGTGCCGCCAACACTTGACACAATCGTTTCAAGAGCCTTTGAATCAGCCTCGTGCTCAACATGTTTTGTCGTTGTCGTCTGGTGTTCAAGCTTGCAAGCTTTAAAGTTCAATTGAGCGGCCGCACATTGCAACTTGCCAACACCGTGACGGCAACTTTTTGGAGGGCATGTAAGGTGCATGGGTAGAATCTACGTAGAATCTACCGTGGACTCGCGTAGAAAATTGGTAGACTCAGTTCGGATAACTCCGCAGAATCTACCGCAGTCTACCGCAGTCTGCCGCAGTCTACCGCAGTCTACGCGAGTCTACGTAGAACGACCAAACAACATTATTAGCGACATATATCCTCATCCTCATCCACATAATGCAGTAACATATACCCGTCTCAGACGGGCAGCCGGGCGTGACAATGTGCCGATAGAGACGGGCCACCCGGTGCCGGCCCATGGCAATAATTGTACCATGTTAGACGAGTGGGCCGAGGGGGTGGAGTGTCCAAGGCAAACGGATGGGCCGGGTGTATATAGTATAGATGGTAGTATAGCAATGTACTATATAGGAAATTATGAATAGTAGTAGTGAATCCAGTGTGTGATAGATGAGTGGGCCAGAGGAATGGAGTGCAATATAGACGAGTGGGCTGGGGAACTGGGGTGCGATGGGGACGAGTGGGCCAGTAAATGAGGTGCAATGGAGACGAGTGGGCCGGTACATAAGGTGCAATGAAGACGAGGGGGCCGGAGAATAGGGTGCAATTAAGACAAGTGGGCCGGTATAGCAGGTGCAATGGAGACGGGTGGGCCGGTATAGCAGGTGCAATGGAGATGGGTGGGCCGGTAATAAGGTGCAATTAAGATGAGTGGGCCGGTATAGCAGGTGCAATGGAGACGGGTGGGCCGGTATAGCAGGTGCAATGGAGACGGGTGGGCTGGTAAAGGAGGTGCAATGAGGACGAGTCAGCCGGTGTTATTGGGTGCAATGAAGACGAGTCGGCCGGTGATATGGGGTGCAATGAAGACGAGCCGGCCGGTGATATGGGGTGCAATGAAGACGAGCCGGCCGGTGATATGGGGTGCAATGAAGACGAGCCGGCCTGTGATATGGGGTGCAATGAAGACGAGTGGGCTGGTGATATGGGGTGCAATGAAGACGGGTGGGCCGGCATTATAGGGCGCAATGAAGATGAGTGGGCTGGTGATATGGGGTGCAATGAAGACGGGTGGGGCCGGCATGATAGGGTGCAATGGAGACGGGTGGGCCGGTATTATGGGGTGCAACAACGACCGGTATTTATATAACCGGTTGCTTGTGGTAACATAGCACTCAATCCGGCGATTCCACCGGTGGTCTGATCATGTAAAATGGTTAAGATTTGACAAAGTTATGAGCCCTACAAGGGAAAGCCATAAATTTAGAGGATATTATGATATATTGTATCTAGACCATTGCAACCGGTATTTTTTGACCGGTATTTACATGACCGGTTGCTTGTGGTAACATAGCACTCAATCCGGTGATTCCATCGGTGGTCTGACCATGTAACATAGTTAAGATTTGACAAAGTTAGGAGCCTTACAAGAGAAAGTCACAAAGTCAGAGGATATATCATATCTAGACCATTGTGACCGGGATTTTTCAACCGGTAGTTATGTGACCAGTTGCTTGTGGTGACATAGCACTCAGTCCGGTGATTCCACCGGTGGCCTGACCATGTAAAATGGTTAAGATTTGACAAAGTTATGAGTCTTACAACAAGAGAAAGTGACAATTTCAGAGGATATATCATGTCTAGACCATTGTGTCCGGTATTTATGTGACCGGTTGTTTATAGTAAAACATAGCACTCAATCTGGTGATTCCACTGGTGGTCTGACCATGTAAAATGGTTAAGATTTGACAAAGTTATGAGCCCTACAAGAGAAAGCCATAAATTTAGAGGATATTATGATGTATTGTATCTAGACCATTGCAACCGGTATTTTTTGACCGGTATTTACGTGACCGGTTGCTTGTGGTAATGTAGCACTCAATCCGGTGATTCCACCAGTGGTCTGACCATGTAAAATGGTTAAGATTTGACAAAGTTATGAGCCTTACAACAAGAGAAAGTGACAATTTCAGAGGATATATCATGTCTAGACCATTGTGACCGGTATTTATGTGACCGGTTGTTTCTAGTAACAGTACTCAATCCGGTGATTTCACTGGTGGTCTGATCATGTAAAATGGTTAATATTTGACAAAGTTATGAGTGCTACAAGAAAAAGTCACAAATTCACTGGCAGAGGATATATGATATCTAGACCATTGTGACCGGGATTTTTCAACCGGAAGTTATGTGACCGGTTGCTTGTGGTAACATAGCACTCAATCCGGTGATTCCACCAGTGGTCTTATCATGTAAAATGGTCAAGATTTGACAAAGTTATGAGTGCTACAAGAAAAAGTCACAAAGTCAGAGGATATATGATATCTACAGTATTGTGACTGGGATTTTTCAACCGGAAGTTATGTGACCGGTTGCTTGTGGTAACATAGCACTCAATCTGGCAATTTTACCGGTGGTCTGAATCATGTAAAATGGTCAAGATTTCACAAAGTCATGAGCCCTACAAGAGAAAGTCATGAATTTAGAGGATATATGATATCTACAGTATTGTGACCGGGATTTTCAACCGGTAGTTATGTGACCAGTTGCTTGTGGTAGCATAGCACTCAATCCGGTGATTCCACCGGTGGTCTGACCATGCAAAATCATTAAGATCTGACAAACTTATGAGCCTTACAAGATAAAGCCACAGATTTAGAGGATGTTATATCTAGACCATTGTGACCGGTATTTTTGTGAACAGTTGCTTGCAGTAATATAGTACTCAATCTGGTGATTCCACCGGTAGTCTGATCATGTAAAATGGTTAAGATTTGACAAAGTTCTGAGCCTTATAAGACCAAGTCATAAATTCAAAGGATACAGTGTTGTATCAGCTTATATCTGGACCATTGTAATCAGTATTTTTGCAACCGGTTGCTTGTGGTAATGTAGCACTCAATCAGGGGATTCCATTTTGCCCCTTTGATAGGAGAGTGTTCTAGCACTGTCAAAACATATTTAGGAGTATATATTAACATATTCCACCACTTAGTTGACCCCCTGAAGGGCTACATCAAACAATATAGCATATATACATGAAAACATAACTGATAAGAACCCTCCAACACTATCAAGGATGTTATTGGTAATCAGACACTTGGGATATGTCCCATGTATATCCCTAGTCATGGTCCTAAAATTCTGGAAAGATCCCTCAAGTATTGACGGTAAGATAAGTAAAACAACATAGGCTTGACATATGACAATTTACCCCTGTCACTGAAAGTCACTGACATATATCACACACACCAAAGATTTTATTAAAAATGCAGTAGTATGTATAGTAGACTACATAATGAACCTAAAATACACATTGCCCTGAAGGTAAAGTCTTTGTAGAAGAGTGTGGTGAGGAAATATTAGGATTGGTAAGTAAAAGTCCAACCACTACATATACACCAAACTGGTGAGTTTCGATGTTTTGGGCTTTTGGACTTTCCCACACTCTATTTCAGAGATATTTCACTGCCCTAGCTCTCAACTGTTAGTGGATCCTTTTATAAATCTGAGACCATGATATTGACCATGCTTAGAATATATTGCAAGCATCTGATTACTAGATTGTGTCCATTGGAGAATGTAGGCCCCTTATCAGTACACATACCCCCTTTCCCTTAGATAACAATATTATACCATATTTCTAACTGATCCTTGGGATGAGAAGTAGGTATATATGTAGTAAGGATAATATATGAGTAGTCTGGATCATTTATGCAATGGTAAAGTAGGGGAAAACACCAAAAATGTGACAACTGCAATCTTAGAAGTTTTAGCCTGTATAGAAGGATTCTGTAGGTATCCTGATGTACCAACCTGGTGTACATACTCTAATCTGTCTAGGAATGGTCCCCATATCATTCTACAGCTGTGTTCCTGTAGGAAAACCTTTCCCAGAGGATGGACCACCAGGAGAGGGTGAGTACACAGCATCACAAGGTTTTGTCTGTGGATGTTAAGGTCATGCTCAAAGGAAGGAGAACTCAAAGGGCTTGACTTCAGCTTGTGTGCTGCACCCCTTACCCGAGTATGTGCCCTTAATTTATGAGAGGCAGGAGGGAAGTCCAACAAAGTCCAGAGGTTTCCGGAGGTCAGACACTAGGGGAGTTCGGCAGAACTCCAGAGGTTCAAGGAAACCCAGAGTAAGACTGCTGTGGACAAGTCTGGAGTAGAAATGGAACAGAGGTAAACTACCATAAGGTAGAGCTGGAGACACTCTGGTCTAGATATAACATATCCTCTGAATGGTGGCTTTTTCCTTGTAAGGCTCATAACTTTGTCAAATCTTGACCATTTTACATGATCAGACCACCGGTAAAATCGCCGGGATTGAGTGCTACGTTACCACAAGCAATTGGTCACATAACTACCGGTCAAAAATACCGGGTCACAATGGTCTAGATATCACATATCCTCTAAATTCATGACTTTCTCTGTAGAGCTCATGACTTTGTCAATCTTGACCATTTTTACATGATCAGACCACCAGTAAAATCGCCGGATTGAGCGCTATGTTACCACAAGCAACTGGTCACATAACTACCGGTTGAAAAATCCCAGTCACAATACTGTAGATATCATATATCCTCTAAATTCATGACTTTCTCTTGTAGGGCTCATGACTTTGTGAAATCTTGACCATTTTACATGATTCAGACCACCGGTAAAATTGCCGGATTGAGTGCTATGTTACCACAAGCAACCGGTCACATAACTTCCGGTTGAAAATCCCAGTCACAATTACGGTAGATATCATATATCCTCTGACTTTGTGACTTTTTCTTTTAGGGCTCATAACTTTGTCAATCTTAACCATTTTACATGGTCAGACCACCAGTGGAATCACCAGATTGAGTACTATATTACTGCAAGCAACTGTTCACAAAAAATACCGGTCACAATGGTCTAGATATAACATCCTCTAAATCTGTGGCTTTATCTTGTAAGGCTTATAAGTTTGTCAGATCTTAATGATTTGGCATGGTCAGACCACCGTGGAATCACCGGATTGAGTGCTATGCTACCACAAGCAACTGGTCACATAACTACCGGTTGAAAATCCCGGTCACAATACTGT